GTACGTTCGAACACCGTATATGGCACATGGACAGAGTGAAGCCCATTGCACTAACCTGCATAGATGAAAGAAAATATATATGTTTATTTATTCCTGATAATCTGATGAACTGATTGCTGAGAAAATTGAGGGTATTTGTTTGTCCAATTCATCTTAAATGCAAAGCATTTATTTGGGAATGTGTTACTTCACCTTTTATGCAATCAACTGTAAACCAAAGAAAATCTTTGTTGTGGATAGCAGCATGAAATTTTGCAGCACTGCCTACTAGTAGGCATGGTAAATGTTGCCACTAGACCAAATTACAGTGAAATGAGTGCCCATGTCTAAATTTATCCTGCCTGACATAGGCAAAAAATGGTGGCCAAAATTGAAAAGTTGCAAGACTTGGTCCAGGTGGTTGAAAAATGGTGCAGGAGGGAAAGGAAACATTGCTCTATCTTCGCATAAAAATATTTTTGCTCCTTGGACAGTGGGGCAAAGTGTTCCATTTTGCTGTACTATATTGTATATCCAGACTTGGGTTCTTCTCAGTTGTCCCTCTTTCCTGTTCTGTATTTTAGGCAGCAAGGAAGTAAAATGCCACATACAGTACATTTTCTCTAGGAGGATGGATTACTTACTCGGAGATAACTTATACTGAACAATTGCTGAGTGCTAACTCATTATGTCACTAAAGGATGCCACAGACAGACCAGGGGTGCCTGCATGATCATGTTGTCGGAAAGTCCTTTTCCCATCAGGGCATTCTGGTTGAAGTAGTGGAACACTTACAATATATTATCATCACAATGTACAAAATATGTGGCAATCATTGCAGATTTCAAGCTGCATTGAAAAACATTCCAGATGCAAGAGACATGTGAGTGCTGAGGCAGTAAACAAAGCTTCCAAGGGAATTCAATTTTAAAATTACAAAACTACATCATAGCTACAGAAAATAAGAGAAGCTGGAGCATCTGAACTCCTTGGATGTCGAAAGAGGACTCTTACTATTGTCTCTGATCACAGGTTTCATGAAGACAACAGTCACACTCAATCAGCAAATACAATCTTGCATTGTGCAATAAAAACTCACTTTCTGAAAGAAAGATAACTCACTTTTTCAGAAAGAAAGAAAAATAAAATCAGCAAAGAAAATATGCTTTGCTTTTGGCACAATTCCCAATGCGCAAACTTCAAAAGCAAATAACTACGCAAATTTTTCCCTTTAAAAATTCCACAACGTCTTGAATTAAAGGAAAAGATGTTCTTCAAGTTTTCTTGTATCATATAAAAATTGATCCCATTGACAGATCTTGAGATATTCTCACTTTTCTAAACTTAAATATTCTTTGGTGATAAGAATGGAAAACCTTCATGCCAGATTGTTATCTCACTGATGCACAGGCTTTTGGTACAAACAGTGACTTCAAAAGCCTTGTTTCTAGATGTAGATGAATGAATTTATTGCTGGAACAGGCAATATATACATATACTAAGCATCTGTTACCTACAATCTTTTTAATTCATCAAGGGGTGTTTTTATATTTCCCATTAAGAAGGGACCTGAAGTACTCAGGTGGTTATGCAGTTTGTGCACAGTAAATGACCCAAACATTTGTTAAGGCATTGGATCCTCTATTGTCAACAACAACAAAGTCATTAATACTAAGTTGAATGAACCAATTTCTTCCTTGTCTCACATAATAGAGTTGCTTGCGACGTCGGTCGGTACATCCGTTGACCACTCCATCCCTCCTGCCTTTTCCCCCTACCTCCCTCCCACAGAGCCCCAGCCAGGCCTGCAGGAGGGTCGCGTTTCCCGTTTTTTCAACTTTTAAAATGTTTCAAAATTGGAATTCTTGATAAAACTTCAAATTTCTTCAAATGTATGAAGCTCCATGCAATTTCCAACATTTCCTTTTTTTAAACATTCAAAAATGTTGACAATTGACTGAGAAACAATGAAAACCGCAAAACATTTTTTTAAAAACTTACAAAAAATGGGAAAAAAGATTTTACTTTTTGAATTTTCTTCATTTCAATTATTGTCGTAATTCAATCAGCAAAATTTTTACATTTTTAGAACATCTGTGTGCATAAACCTGGCAAAAATTTTTGAAATTCCATCAAAATTGAAAAAGTTATGAGCTAAACTGAAAAATGTGAAATCCCGTATCTGTTTTTCTTCCCATTATGTCAACTTCTTAAATTTGTCAAAAATTCAATTATCAAGTAAATTGCAAATTTCTTCATATGTTGCATTTACAATGAAGTTTTGAAGATTTCCTTACTTTAGGTTTGAAAAATCTTCAAAATTGGGTGAGATAAGATACAAAATGCAAAAACATTTTCAAAAAACGTACAAAAAACGGGAAAAAATGATTTTACTTTCTGACTTTTATCCATTTTAATTATCAGCATATTTCAATTTACAAAAATATTTAAATTTGTGAAACATTTGTGTGCATAAACCAAGAAAATATGAATGAGCTTGAATCAAAATGAAAGAAGTTACACAGAGCTAAACTGAGAAATGTGAAATCCCGTTTCTGTTTTTCTTCCTGTAATCTCAACTTTTAAAATTTGTCAAAAAGTCAATTATCAATTGATTTCCAAATTTGTTCAAGTGTTATTTGCGTCATAAGGTTTTCAACATTTCCTATTTTTAAATTTAAAAAAAGCTTCAAAATTAAGTGAGATACAATAGAAAATGCAAAATGTTTTTTGGAAAAAGAGAAGAAATCGGGAAAAATGATTTCACATTTTAAATTTTGGTTCCATAAATTATCCGTATTTTGCCAATTTAAAAATTTTGGAAATCATAGAATTTCATTGCCCATTCAACCATGTAGAAATATTTTGACTATTTTGAAATGCTAAAAAGTTACAGCAAGGTAAAGGGAAAAGTGGAAAATTCGGTTGAAAAGTTACTTTCTGTTTTTTATTTTTAAATTTATCAAAAATTATATGCTTCAAATTTTAAAAATATTAGGAAGGGTAGAATTGTAGCGCGCATGTAACTGTGTAAAAATATTTGAACTTTTTCAAAAAATTTAAAATATATCAGGAGCTTAATCAAACAATGGCAATGTTATAAAAATTTAGTTATTCATTTTTGAATGTTTAGTGTCTAAACATTTAAACATTTAGTGATTTAGTGACTATCTCTGTTTTTTAAATTCATTTTTACAACAATATTTCATTGATTCCTTTTCTTCAATGCTTATAAAAACAAAAATTATCAAAGCTATGCCATTCACCAACCTTGGTGAATGGCATAGGTAAATTTAAATGCCATGGGTAGTAAATGAATCTACATGGGGTTTCTCAATTTTTAGTCATCCATAAATAAGTTTAAGCCCATGGGAATGGGTTTATTTGGAAATGGTGGGGTCTAACACCTGGATATGTATGTTTATTGATGGGATTTTGAACAAGCATGTTGCAAGTCAGGGATTGTTCAATGAGGACTGTCCAAATGAATGGTGAATAGACAACCTCCTACTTTTGAGGTGAGGGGGGTAGGTAAAAATGTGAAGGGCCTGGTATTCATTACAGATAACAAACCTCCTACTGAAGGATCACTTTCAAAGTCAATGCAATTTCATGACTCCAGCTGATGAGCCATGAATTTACATGTGAGTTCTGTGGGTTTCTCTTTCAAAAGTCAGAATTGCACAGGCCTCAATTCTGATGCATGACCATTGGTACAAGGGCATAGACCATCTATCAAATTGTTTCACTGGGTAGTGTTATGAATTTGAATTTTCCCCAAAACAGATGAGCTTTCTGTGTCCAAATTTTT